AGACCAATTACGTGAAGATAGGATGCAGCCAATACAACGTGACGGACACGCGCATCTTCCATGAAAACCTGAAGACGACATTCAGAGAGCTGAAAGCACAGGTCAAAAACCAAAGCAAACACTTCGCGACGTCGCAGGCGGTGAAGGGGAACAACCCAGCTTACAGTCTTTTTCAGTGCAGAAACTATCTCTCCATCTCCGATTGCCTCGCTTGCTTCAGATTCGCGGCCCGGCAAATTCACAACTGCTCCTACAGCGCCACCGGTGCCCGTATCATCTATGAAGGATGCTTCCTCAGGTACCTTATTTTGGATTTTTTTTTCCTAACGGTAAAACCAGCCTGCTTTTAGAATTCATATTGGATTTCGGATACTTAACGAGGTTGATATAAATACTAGATAACTAACTAATTTGTTGAATATTAAAAAAAATAGTTAGATCAGTTAGTTGTAGTAAATGTGTATTAGTTTCTTTAAACTACTTTTAATCATGTATATTTGAACTAGTATCTCTCAATTGAGAGCTTTTTAATATATGTAGTCAACAGAAATACAATTTGATGAAAAATTTATAAATTTAGGAGGTAAGATAAGTTAAGATTTTATATTTGTTATTTCAGATAGAATTAAAGAAGACTAAAAGGGTAGTAAAACCTTTTTTAGTAGTCAAACCTTTCAAAAAATATTTATTGTGGCTCCATACTTCAAATTTGAACACATGACTTTTTTTTTTTTTGGGTAGAATGAACGCATGACTTTTTAACTCTCTCCAAATTCATTTAGAATGAATAAATAATGTTTTATATATGCTAAGAAAAATAGTTTAAAAAATAAATATATGTATATTTAATTTTCTTCCTCAAAATGTCCTATTAAAATTACTCATCATATAGTGGTTTGGTTAAAAAATTTTACTGACGGTAAATTTGAAAATTTTATTAAATGTATTAGGAGGCAAAGGCTGGTTGTTTCATATGTGTAATAAAGCCTAACAAAAAGACTCTAGTTTTGTCTCTCATCAGTGGGTCAGTGGGAAGATATTTTAGCGGTTTGTACTACTTTGTGCCAGATGGTATACTTTTAGACAAAAAGAAGTAGTATTTGGCATATTTTGACCATGTTTTAGTTTGGGTATATAGATATATGCTAAGATACATCTTATAATTGTTCATTAAATTAAATTTGATATTGTTAGGCTTAATGATATATATATTAAACAAAGGAATTTCTTGGAAGGAAGAGAATTAACTGCATCCTTGAGCCCCATTTTCTTGCATAACTTTCACTAAAAGACGGCATATCATGTATAACTATATCAATATAAAATGTATAACAATTTGAATTATTTATAAGATATATATTCAAAACACTGATTAATTATTTTATAATTTTATAATTAAATTGAATAAATGTTCTTCTTAAAAATTTTAAATTATTTTTAATTTGAATATAAGATAGATTAAATATTGTGGGTATAGGATAACATTGAATCATATTAGAAACAATATTTTTAAATTATTCACTAAAATCCACTTCAAATTAATTAGCAAAAAATTTCAGCATCTTGAAGAGCTATATTTATTCAGAAATTTCTTTTAGTGGCATGGTAGGACCAACACACATTTCAAATTTAATTAATAAATTAGAAAATGATCAAATATCAAAGAAAAAAAAACAAAAACAACTCTTCCATGGTGGGACCAACACAAGTTTTCAAATTAATTTGTCTTTTTGCATCTCCACACAAAAAGCTATCCCAAGAGAAGTGGCGAATTTGGTCCACTTTTGAGATGCAAATATTGACAATAAAAGCCTATTCATTAGCTAATTTGACATTTTCCATTGATTTTACAAGTAGATATGTAGTCTTGCGCATTTCAAAAATTCTGAATAATAATTTGTATTGTTCACAGCTTGTTAATAATGAGATGATATGCTATCCATGTCACGTTATATTGATAATGATAATTATTGATTGATATTTATAAGACTTTAAAGCTTATCTATTGGCTTAGGAGATTAAATAAGGATACATATATATATAGAGAGAGAGAGAGAGAGAGAAGTGGGGTCATCCTAACTCTTGTTTCTGCTTAGACGGCAGCTTGAAATGTGTACCTTTTTAAAGATATTTAGTTATTATAAAATCATAATAGTTAACAATAATCAAGTAAAAGAATCTGCAAATTGATTAACATTAACTTTTTACATTCTCTAAATAATATGAAATGAAATAATATAAATAGGAAATTTACCTTAAGAGGCCAGCGCCAAAAATGAGATTGATTAATTGAATACTCCTTTTTATTGTGTTTTATTAAGGTACGAGAGCAGTGGCTTCTTTGACCAAAACACAGATGCTGGCAACAACATTGTGTGTGGGAATAAAGCAACAAACTCCACTTCACTTGCTTCAACAGTAGCACAAGTTCTCACAAATCTGGAAATAGCAACACCAAGAATACCTGGTTTCTATGCAGCCACTAAAACACAAGTTCCTAATAGTAAAACTTCAATTTATGCCATTGCTCAATGTCTTGAGACTCTCACTCAAAGTGGCTGCCAAGATTGCTTGAAGACTGGCTTAAAAAATTTCCAGATTTGTCTTCCCAACTCAAATGCTAAGACTTATGATGCTGGTTGTTTCATGAGATACTCCACCACTGCTTTCTTTGCTGATAATCAAACCACTAATATCAAGCACTTCCTGAAACAAGGTAAGAGTTAAAACTTCATTAAAACTTCAAATAGATTGCATATTTTGCATACACTTGGGTTAGGGAAAAAAAAAACGTGGAAATGGGGTTATGTTTTTTTCAACTGTGATTTGTAGGAGGAGGTTCAACCAAGAAGAAGGCTATTATTGGTGGACTCGTTGGAGGTGCATCTATTATTTTGATTCTTCTTGCATTATTTGCTTTGCACAGACGATCACAGTTATCCAAGAGGAATCCTAGGGGTAAGATAACTAGCTAGGAGATGTGATGGTTTGATTCTCACCTTTTTTGTCCCCAAAGGAGATTAATGTTATGGTTTTAATAATTAGAAGGATATGTTAAACGGAGATTTGAAGCTGGTTGTTCCTTACAGGTGACATTTTGGGAGCAACTGAGTTGAAAGGCCCCGTTAACTACAGGTATAAAGATCTAAAGGCAGCCACAAAAAACTTCAGCAAAGAAAATAAATTAGGAGAAGGAGGTTTTGGTGATGTGTACAAGGTAAACTTTCTAAACGTTCACTTTCAATATTAAAATTGATATCAGTTCTGAAGAGCCGCAGGGGTGTTGCACTCAGACATTTAGTATAAATTCTGTCTAGGTAGGCTTATCAGTTAATGTTTGTCTCACAACATGATGAGACTTTCACCATACTATAGTTCTAACTTCTGTAAATATATTCTTATATGAATAGTTTTTATGAATGGAGCAAAAGGTTGATCCCACACCCAAAACAAAATGTTATGTACGTCGATTCATGATAAATGTGCTGTTTAAGGTCACAGTCCCAGAAAGAAAGGGAGGAAAAGTTAGAATGTCTATAAGCATATTCTGTAATCAAGCATAATGTCTTGATTCTCTTGAACAGGGCACTTTGAAAAATGGAAAAGTTGTTGCTGTCAAGAAATTGGCCTTAGGTCAGTCCAAAGAGATGGAGAAAAATTTTGAAAGTGAAGTGAAGCTGATAAGCAATGTTCATCATCGGAATCTTGTTCGACTTCTGGGATGTTGTAGCAAAGGACAAGAAAGGCTCCTTGTTTATGAGTACATGAAAAACAACAATGTTGGCCAATACTTATTTGGTATAACAAAATCAAATACTTTAATTAATTTCATCAGCAGCTTTGAGAATCATCATTACTTCTTCTATTCTGTTTTTCTTACTCTAAAGTATTGGAAACAGGTAAAAATAAAGGTTCTCTCAGTTGGAAGCTACGTTCTGGTATAATTTTGGGCATTGCAAGGGGTTTGGCCTATCTACATGAGGAGTTCCACATTTGTATAATACACAGAGATATAAAAACTAGTAACATCCTCTTAGATGATGATTTTCAACCTAAAATTGCTGATTTTGGACTAGCAAGGCTTTTGCCAAGAGACCAATCTCATCTTAATACAAGATTTGCAGGAACAATGTAAGTAACGCATATGCTTATCCACTTCTGATATTATATCACATGGGAAAACGAGAGGTTGTAAAAGTAGTCATATGTTGGTAAAACGGAACATTGTTATTACGCCTTTATATCCATTTCATTGACGTTCTGTTGTTTCTATAAAGGTCAAACGTTTCAAGAAAGATATTTTGTATCCATGTATGACGCATTTCAATTTTCAAATATGATGAAAGAGTTAAAGATGCACATGAGCATTTGGAATTTTATTTTGTCTGTTCATGTATGTTTTCATTTTCTGTGGTGTGCCATATATCTGTTTTGATCCATTATGCCATAAATACCATGTTGTTTTTTGGTTAGGGGATATACAGCACCTGAATATGCAATGCATGGACAATTATCAGAGAAAGTTGATACTTACAGCTATGGAGTTGTAGTCTTAGAACTCATAAGCGGGCAGAAGAGTGGTGAATTGAAGGTTAATAATGAAAGTGAATTACTCCTTCAAAAGGTAAGAAAATTCCCAGAGCTAATAATATAACAGAGTGCTGCAGTTTATTGAAGAAACTTCTACAGAGTGTTCAAAAAATTTTCAATATATAACATGACAAATGAACACTTTTGAAGCTCAACATAACAACAATGGCATTTGTCTCAAAAAATTATTTCACATATTAGTTCCCTGGTGAAGTACTTAACAGCAATCATCAAATAAACCTTACTTTAGATTTTACTTCATTAGTTTTCTGTGCTAAATGACTTTGATCCCACCTTGCAGGCTTGGAAGCTATATGAGAGAGGAATGCACATAGAGTTTGTGGACAAAACCTTAGACCCAAGTGAGTATGATGCAGAAGAAATAAAGAAAATAATAGAAATTGGATTACTCTGCACTCAAGCATCTCCTGCTGCAAGGCCAACAATGTCTGAAATTGTTGTTATGCTCAAAAGCAAAGGCTTAATGGAGCACAAGAAACCCACTATGCCTGTCTATGTTGATCCTAATTGGAGGCCTAGAAGAGACACATCCACGTCTAATAGTTCAGCTTCATCAAATGCTACCGTGTCCCAGTCCATTCTATCAGGAAGGTGATTACAATACTCAAGAACGTGTTGTTAAGGTTCATTTTCAAGTTTTTGAACCCAGAGAAAATAGTAATGAAGAAAATGGAGCAAGTGTTTTCTTTCATTCATTGCGAGTGCTAGATTTTTGAAGTCAGTGAAACATCAAATCTACAAGTAGGAAAGTCTGAGTGAAAGGTGGCCATCATATTGGCACCCGTTATTTAGTATAAACTATCTATATTATGATCTGTAATGAAGTTCCCAAGGCTTATAGAGAAGCTCTATGGTTATTTTGGTACCCCAGCTTAATGCCCTCAGTTCAGTGTCCGGAATTAAGTTGATCTTACTTATTACCTTGTCCTCCAAAAACAGAGGGAAATAATTGAAGAACGGATGAGGAAAAACAGAATATTCTGTGTTCATAAAATTGCAAAAAAAATTTTACAGCCATTTCAGAAACATTTATAAAAAGAAAACGTATATATCATCAAATCACAAGAGAAACACATCAAGGTAATAAGCCATGCAGAGGAAAACAAGGTAATGCCTTCCAGTTTAATGCTTATTCTGGTACTCCAGTTTAATGCCCTCTTGCGCCTCCTCTCGCCTTTGGACCTTCAGAAATTGTCAAAAACACAGAAATATTCAAAAACCCTCGTGTATCTTATAAGGTCACAAAAACCATGCAGAGGAAAACAAATTAGGTCACATCAGAGAGTAATAATTCTCTACACCCTAGTGGTGGATCTTATAAGATCCTGATATCTCATGTATCAGCTTTAAACATGGTCCTTATACAAAAATTGTGACACTTTGGGTATGTGATGGTGCTAACAAGTTTGGTCCTACAACAACAAAGAGCATTCCTAAATTTCTTCCTTCTCCTCTTTCTTATATAATGCTCCCTCCAATCTTAAATGTAGAAACTAGTGGAGGGGTTTGTTTCGGTCTAACCAGAATATTAGCTATGGTGTCAAATATATCATCTCACATATTGTGTTATGCTGTGTTGGGGCTATCCATATTCATAGGTCACAGACTCCTAGAATAACGTCTATCCCGCTTTTGATTATTTTAGAACATTTTTTAATGGACACAAAGGGCAAAAACCAGAAAACAAAGAGGTAAACATAAGGCACAAAAAGCAATACAAGAGCATATTAGTTTATAATCCACTCAATTCTATCCCATCACATTTCTAAAAATCATCCCTTCGTACCATAGCATAACTGAAAATGGGTGACTCTAGTGACAAAGTACGATGTTATTTAAATCAATTAAATTTTTTAACAATTAATAGGTACGAGATAAACCATTTACTTCGTTTAAAAGTGGAGAGTAAAAATAATGGGAAACACAAACATAAAGGCACTGTAGGAGTAAGAGAAAAGCACTAATATATTAAGTAATTAATAGCTTTAAGGAATTTTTTTTCCTCATCAAGCAAGCCTACATGTCATGATTTTGCTTCATTAATAAGAAAACAATGGCCAAAAGTAAAGTGATTGATCGTGTGATCTTAAGCGTTATATGAGTAATATATAAATAATACTATTCTTTGAGAATGATCAAACATTATGCTTTAACATTTGGTCTTGGCAAATGCAAATATTTTGTACATGACCTCACAAATAATTATGATCATTTTTTTTTAGGAGGTTTTTCCCCAGGGTATCCCACGGCCGGTAGCCATGAGACTAATCCCTCGTCCATACGGTCGGCGCTAGAATTAAGATGGCCAAAACGAATCTCACCTTTGTAATATTCACCACATCTGACAATTTCAATAGGTACTGCAACAACACAAGCTCTAGTCCTCTGCAGTGTATAAACTACTTCAACCAGCTGCCCAAACAGCAGGATTAGTAAATTACACACTTCTTCAAATATATATTTCAACACCAAGCAATTTATATGCACACCCCAGTTGGTCAAGAAACATGAAAACAGAGAGATAAATACCTACAAGAGTTGACCATGAAACAAACCTATCAAGCTTGTCAACCAATATGATCACAAAATGTGAACCACGAGTATTACTGTTTTGACAAGGACGAAAGACCTCCCATGTCATGATTTAGCTCAGATGACTCAGCTGAAATAAATCACAATAATAATGCAGAAACTCTGTTCATCAAAATAAATTAGCATGTTCAAGGGCCTGTTCAATTAGTCAGATTGTAATTGCACTACAAGAGGGTTTTTGTTGGGCAGTGTATTAATAGCTGGGAATTTTCTGCAACAAAGGAGGCAGGGTCATACAATAGCGAGGAGGAAGAAAGAGTTCCTTAGGTTACATTTCTACTCTCCTCAAAGTCAAACTTGCGAAATACTCCTCCGGTCCTAATTATAAGACCCAATTGACTTATTTGAGGAGATTAAGGAAGTAAGTTAAGTTGGTTATTTGTAATAAATAAGTGTTGTCATTCCTAAAATATCCTTGCTAATTAAGTATATTGGCTAAAACTATCATTATTAGAAGGATTATTTTGGAAAAAAATGCATAAATATAAGAGACAAAATGGATTGGGGTCTTATAATTAGGACCAAATAAAAAGTCAAATGGGGTCTTATAATAAGGACCGGAGGAGTAAAAAGAAACCAAGAAAGAATCATCATTGGTCATGGCAATCATTTGAATTCAAAACTATTAAAAAAGAAATAAAAGGGTACTCATAAAGCATCATTTCAACAGGGTCCCCCTCTACAGAGATATCCATAAAAAGCAGGGGAGTTTTCTTCTCCGGCATTGTCTTTCTTTTATGAATCAGAATTCAAGTCAACATAACCACTTAAGTCACAAAAGTTAGTAAAGGAACACCAACTAATTATTTATATTGTCTGATGTGTAAATATTGCATCAGAAGCAGATAATGGCACATATCATATCAAAGCTGCAGCATTTACATATAAGCTTGACAAACAAAAATTTCGTAGTAAGGTGTGCCTTCACAAGTGGCTCCTTCTGAGCAATGGGAAGAGAAAATTATGGGGCATCTATTACATGCTTAAAGGTAATTGCAGAGACAAGTAATAGATTAAACTCTAGCACTATCAGTACGCATTACACAACTCAATTTGCTTCCCATGTCAAAAACAATTCATTCGGGATCTGCCAGAGGAACTTAAGGAACGTCAAGCACAGATCATTTATGTATAATTAGCAAAATCTACGGCAGAAAAAAGGCCAACAGACGATGCCTGCAGGAAGGAGACCCGGTGGCACGACAGCAAGCTGATGAGGAGTGAGTGAAGTCTAAAAAATGGTGGAAACGAAGCAGGCAAGACTTGCCAAAGCCCAGTAGACTCTGCCTGCATACTGTATAGTATGGCACAGGACTAAGGGCCTTTTGGAACCAGGGAAAAAAAAACTGTTTAAAGAGTGTTTTTACACTAATACGAAAAACGTCTCAAATACCCCTTAAGTCTAGTATTTATATTAATTTCTTTAAAAAATAGATAATTGTAAAAAAAAATTTCAATAATAAATGAGTAGCATAAACCTTATCAATTCTTGCACCTAAAATTGTCATTCACTTGTTATAATTTTGGTAATTATATTCTCTTTTCGTAGGATACATAGCCTTAAAGAGGTTTACATTTTAGATTTTGAAGCTGCTGGCTGAATTTGGTTGCTGTAGAGGTTCTATTATCATTCTTTTACCTATGCGGCTATTTGGAATGCAGCCAACCCATATAGTTATTCTAGTTCTTAACATAAAAGATAATTGAAAATTCAATTTAGTTTTAAATATAATATTTCAATTTATTTTGTTTTCAATAGTTTGTCTATTTTACCCACAAGTTATCTCTATGATGATTACATATGTTGAAAAGTTATTATCAAGACGTGATTCAAATACATATGATTAATAAGGACATTTTAAAAAAGAAAATATATTTATTATAAATAACTAGTTTAATTAAATTTTTATGGGAATTTTAGTGAGTTTTGAATTAGGTCCTTACGTTATTTTTTCTGATTAAGCACTCCTTATGATTTCAGCTGTTAGTCATATTGATCCTTCCATCTTCAAAAATGTCAGAAAGACATAATGACATTAACCTCAGCTTAACTTGCTGAAGTGGGGGACTGTTCATTGACTGTAAAATGAGACATATACTCCACAAAAAAGAACATCGAGATATTCACTAAAGAGCATCTCCTTGTCTCTCTCCCCAAATACATCGCTAATCTCTCCCACAGTTCATTTGAGACAGAGGCTACTTCACTCTCGTCATGCCCAGTAACTCCTTCAATGATCTCAGGTCTATCTCATCATACATGTATGTCAACAGATAAGAGTAGCATATGTGTATTGGACATGATCAGCGCACACTAAATTTCAAAATTTTGATCCTATGTGTGTTGGATATGGGGCATCATGGGCACTTAGGTGCTTTGTACCCAAATCATTGGTGGTGAACGAGAGGACGACTCTGATTGCTTTTGTGAGGAACAAAATATTTTAACATTGTAAGGCAATAAAAAATGCAAAACCAATATTCACAATGAATATATTAAAGTGAAAAATTAATATTTTTACCTCTACTATTCGTGATATATTAAAAAAGACTATGCCACAACATTGTTTTATTTGCTCTGTTTTTTGCCTCAAAAACAGGGACATATAGAGTTGTGGCTTGGCATTACTATAGTTGAATGTTATGAAATTCACCTAGTCTATGAAGAGACCAGTACCTCGATGGTGTTGTTAAGTTATTAGAGACCATAATTTTTGTACTGCTTATGGGTTGAAGATTCTGATTAACGGTTATTTGTCTCCCTCATTTTTCCTTGTTATTTTACCTTTCATATCAATACGGGTAGAATTAGAATGGAAAAAACTTTCACTTTTTGATAGCTGGTACGCAAATTTCATTGATTAGGTAATAACTTAGCCATG